GATTTGAAATTTGAGGCTGTATAAGAATCATTTAGGTTGCCTCTTAAAAATTTAGATTCCCAGGCCTTAGCCCCAGGCATTGAGACTCAGTAGTTCCGGGGCCCAAGAGACTGTTTTATAAAAGTAAATTTACAAAAAGTCGCCAAAATAACTCAGAGTTTCTGAATACCATTGCCAATTTTCCCCTAATGCGAACATCTTATTAACATGGCACATTTGTTAAAACTAAAGTCAGTGTTGACACGTTACTACTTCATCAGATATCCCACTCAAGTTCTTTATCTGTTCCATGATCAAATCTAGGATACCACACTGCACTTAGAAAATCTTCATTTTTCATAAGCTCTTTCAGTGGATGAGAGACAGGGGAGTTGAGGACTACATTTTGAGAAAACACAGAGATTCAGAGAACCAAACCAAAACTGCTGCATCCCCGAGTTGGGGAGGTATGTGCAATTTTAAGGAAGATAATTGATGGAGCAGGTGTAAATAAAAGGTTGATTTTAGAGTTAGAGATGCAATGCTTTCCATTAGATGGGAAGGGGTTACCTTCAGAACAAGGAATTTAATGTCAGAGGAAATAGTAGGTTTTGGAAGGTGGGGTTGCAACCTCAACCTCAGTCTAGATTGAGAATACATGATGAGGGTTGTGAGTAGGTCAGGAGAATAGGTAAGTGCAGCAAGTTGGGAAGAGCTGCTTTGGAGAACACAGGATTCACATAAGTGATGAAAGGGAGTTACAAGGGGTCAGTTAGTCTGCAAGCCACATACAGCGTGCATGCTCTGGAACCTGGTGCTAATAATGCATTGGCAGTGGGTCATAATGACCAACATCAAGCATTGCAGAAAAAGCCAGGGTAAGACTGGGAGAATTTTGTTTAAAGAGGGTCCTAAGGGTCTTGGGTGAAGCAGCTGGTGAAAGAGGAGGTGGAGAAAACACTTGAAGCTCTACCTGTGGAAGAGTCAGTTGTCACAGTGAGGAGACACAGGAGCCACCAGCTTGGGCTGACGGGTAAGGGTTTGTAGAATAGACAAGGAGGAGAAGACAAAGCAATTTTTCTTACAAGAAGGTAGCAGCCTAATTTGAGAATCAGTGGAGGTCTTTTGAAGAAGATACTACTGGTATTTTATTAAAGACCTTAGGTTGTGTAACTATTACTGAATTTTCCTAATCACATTAAAATTGCTTAGCTCCCTTACAGCAGTTGTAAGAATCACCTAACTTGTTCCTCTTTAAAGAGTATTAACCTTATTTCACTGGACTTAAGATTCTCATAATTTTTATTATATTTCACTTTCCCAGTTAGTTTTTCTTCCTGCACCCTGGAGATCCTAAACCACAAGCGGATATTCTTAAAATTTATTTCACATTAAGTACCTATTCTGTCACTTGCCAAACACATTTAAAATAACTGAGTGGAAATTGCCTTAGAAATTTGTGTTGTAGGGGTGCGGACTCCACTGAAGGGCTCTTACATCTTTTGCTTTGCCTGCTGGCACAATGTCAGGCCCAATCAGGTCTGGAAGTGACTGTTGAGTAGATTTTAGATTAATCCTTAACTTGGGCGTACTCTACAGATCCTGTGTAGAAACTAGCACTTACCTGGGAGATTTCTTTGCCATCTGTGAAGTGATTTTCCAAGTAGTTTCATACTCAACAATGCTGTGTGAAGGAAGAGTCAGGCCATGGTCATCTTAAATGTGTGTAGGGAGAAGCTCTTGGTGATGAAAACTTCAAGCTAACTTGCATACTGCAGCTAAACTAGTTTCCAGAAACACTGAATGAGCTGAATACAGAACTAAGAATGATTTGATTTTTGGTTAAAATTGGCTTTGGCATTTTTTTAAAATCAAGAAATAGTGTATTTAGAAATGTAAAAAAACTAGGCCAAAAATGAACCTTGAGTTGTGATAAAATTGGAATTTAGTGTTGTTGGATTTTAGTAATGTGGGCATATAGGTTACATAAAGAGGAAATGTGAGGGAAAGGGCCAGGATAAGATTTCTCCAGAAACACTGAGCTCTAAGCAGTCACCTTCGGATGAATCACATGAAATTGCCATTGACAGCCATTTTTGACCTAAAAGAATGGCAATTTCACTTGGTTCAAATGTATATTTCAAAACTTTGTCTTTTCCTTGCAATGATGTAAAAGTTCAGTTCATAATATACTGGAGTTAAAATTTCACTCGTGGCTATATTATAACAGTTGAAATATTTCCTAGATATCAAACTCTAAGAAAACTGCCATAGTTGCCACTGGACTAGCAGCTTGGTTTCCATGCCCCATAACATTTGTCAGAAAATCTATCTGCTTTCAGTGACATTTTATTCTTATCCTAAGTTGACCCAATTTCCCAGTTATCAAAATGACTGTGTTGTCTTCTAGAATTCAAGCCAAATGGGAGAGCAATGTTAGTGATTTTTATTCTACTGACCTATTCCTGAAGTTAAAAATTCATGCCCAGTGCTTCTCTCCCAAACTGTTTTTTGAACCTTCGACCACTCATATATGACAGGATTTCTGCTTATTGTCATATTATATGCTGCAAAACTTCTTATAAACAGTAATTTATGATAAATATTTTCTTTTAAGTTAAATGAGATCATTGATTTTAGCCAGCACTTTATCAAGATAAGGTGATGAGTTATTTAAAGATTTTACCTTAGGTACTAAAGAATTAAAGATTTAGTGAGAATCACTGAAGCTGAGTGGCTGGACTCTTAGTTCTAAAAAAACAACCTAACTGATTTGATATATTTTTAACTAAAATGTAAGTTTGAAAACAGTGTGCTAAAGTCAAATTATGTGATCTGTCACCCTCTGTACCGCAACGCTAATTCTATTTTTTGTACTTCCAATTTTTTTTTTTTTCTGTGTAACTAAAAACCTCAAACACCTCTTGTTCTAATTCTGTGTTATTTCTGGAAATCCTTTGTCTTTGCATATTTACATAATTTTATATCCTAATAAGCACATCATGCTTTTTTTTCTCGCAGGCACAATAATCATTTATCCAAAGATGTCATCTAATGTACTATGCCACTAAGTACGGTGGCCAGACAGTGATTTTAAGTGTAACAAATTATCTTCACATTGAAAAGAGCTTAAGAGAGAGAGAACAAATATTATATCATAAACAGAGGCATGAATCAAATCAACTTATGAACAGTGAAAGCTAGTTATCAAAATATCTTTGGACATGTCAAGACTGACTTAAACCATTTAAGTTAGGCAAATATGTAACATAATGTAAATACAAGTGTTACAAACACATTGGTCACATTTTAATTAAAACAGCTTATCAGGTTTTCTTTTAATGTAAACATGAGAAATAAAAACCACATAAGTTATAGATAGCCTTTATCATTTGAAAATAAAACTGCAATAAATACTTAAATCTCCAAACTCTAAACTCCATAAACAGTAGTTTTTGAGGAAGTAAGATTTCTAAGGTTTATGGAAGTTCTTCTTTGTAAACAGGAGGACATGAAATATAATACCTGTAGCCAGGCTAACACGTGGGATAATAAAATATTTAATCACCTACTACTATTAGGGTACAATTCCTTCTAATCTGTTACATGTAAATTAACACTGATCATATTCTTCCTTTATCACATGTAGGGAAAATAATTTTAGGTGATCAACGTAGATAAGAGCCCTGCTAAAAACTACTTTAAAAAAGAAGAGGGCACTTTATAAAAATAGAAAAATTCCAAAAGTCTTAGTGTAATTTTAAGCTTTGATACTTGTAAAAGTATCAATGCTACAAACATTTATAAAACATCATTGGAAAGTTTATTATATTGCTTATACATGTATTTAGTTTTGCAGTTCTTTAAAGGTATAGGGTCTCACCATGTTGCCAAGGCTGGAGTGCAATGGCTATTTACAGGCACAATCATAGAGCACTGCTGCCTCCAGTGCTAGGCCTCAAGTGATTCTCCCACTTAAATAAGTAGCTGGGACTACAGGCATGCCCGGCTCTTAAATATCAAGCTTTTAATTTTTTTATTTCACTATTTCTTAGAGACAGCAGATATTAACTGAAACAAAAAGTTAAAAGCTTAATATTTGATTTTTGCAAAATAACCCAGAGGCAGTGGTGCTACACCTACAGTCCTAGCTACTTGGTAGGCTGACATGGGAGAATTGCTTGAGGCCAGAATTTCCAGGCTGTGGTGTCCTGATTGTGCCTCTGAATAGCCATTGCACTCTAACCTGGGCAACATAGTAAGACCCTATCTTTTATAAAAAGAAAAAATAAATACAGTTAAACTTTTGAATGATATTTTATAAAGGTTTATAGCATATATACATAAGCTGCAGTGCGCTGGAGGGCCTAAGCACACTATATTAAAGCTAGAATCTGCCCTGAAACTTTTAGGTCACATCACGTATTATTATTTTTATATTACCACTGGATCGTCATGTGGTTTGGCATTATGAAAACATCTCTCAATACATTTATTTAACAAATAAGAAAATTTATCAGCAAATGAGAAGGATCATTATAGTTTATAAGAAACACACCATGGACCCTAATACAAGTAGGTAACCAATAACTAATAGTTTTTCTTTTGTGACCCCAAATATTGCTAAAATGTTAGCAAGTAATGCTTGCAAAAGATAGGAACAGCAAATGTCCTCCATCAGCTTTTGTTTAAAATGATTGCCAGTGACGAGCAGCTCCGATGGTAAGAGTAGGCAGGAGGAACCCTTTGACACCTGAAAATGAGCAGTCTGCTTCCAGTGGCTTCATGAGTTGTTACAGTCCCATGTTTTAATAGTAATGCTGCATTTATTTTAAATGCATCTGCAGCAATATTGGGGAAAAGAAAAATAGAAAAGAAAATTTAGAAAATTATGTCTAAAATCTAAAAATTTAAACTATTGTTTTAAAGCCCTTACATAGTTCACAGCTATCAGTCCACACACTAAAAAAATATCTATGTATGGGCAAGAAGTCTTCACTTTGGAGTGATTTTTATACCTGTTTACGTTTAGCAAGACAGAAGAGTGTACGAGACTTGTTGCACTGCAAAGATCCCATTTTTTTCCTGTGGAGTGCAATCCTAGTTGTCCACAAGTCTCTCAACTTTAAGATCTTTCTTCTTTTGAAAATACTGACTTTTCTAGTTGTTGAGCAGGAGAAGTAATATTTTCTGGTCTTTTTTGATGAGGGGTTCAGATGATATAGCCCCTCATTTCTTATTTCAAGAGATAATGGCTTTAGGGCGCTGAAGAGTAATGAAATTATCAGCGCTGAAGGACCTTCTCATGGTAGCACTGTGAAAGATTTTTGTGTCTTCCACCCTTGAAACAGCCTAAGAAAGTCAATGAAACAGAAAAGAGGTACAATTTTTAAAAGGGCTCTAACCTTTTAACAAGCACCATTGATGATAAGCCCCACATGCAGACTCCTTTAGATAGTTCAGTTACAGCTACTTTGGCTGAGGTTCACACTGCCAAGTTCTGGGGATGCTACTCCCTGCCACCTCACTAAGGTAATCTCCTTTAAGGGCTATGATTAGATTGCTGGAGCAAAGGAAAATTTATAGTTTATTAATGTATTCAGATTCTACCCAATCTGCAGTAGTTATTATACCCTCAAAGCAAATTTGAATGAAGCAGATGTGTGCTGGCGTGCACTGGAACATCAAAGAGGTCGAACGAGTAAAGCATCAAAAGGCAGAACCTGACACATTAATTATGGTAGAAGGTATATTATTCGAAGTACTTCCAAGGAACCACAGAAAGTACTAATTTTAAATATGCATCCATTTCAGTTGTAACTTTGCTCACAACTGAAATCAGAAGTCACAAACCATAAATATTGCTTTGCCCCCAAAAAGTTAGCATTTCCAGTAAAACCCATGCACTTCTTGCATCCAGTACCTGAGATGCTCATACCTTATACAGACTAAGTGTAGGTCTCTTGGCTTAAGCACTAATGCTTTGCCTAACAAACTTATGGGACTGGCTGCCCTGTAATATATACAATAGCAAATAACATAAATTTGCAAACTAAGTAATAAAAAACAGGCAAAAGTGGTAAGTGCATTATATATGCAGATATCATTTAAAATGGAATTATAAGAAATTATTCATGTATGCTTATTTGAAAGGGCAGCAATTCAAAAAGAATACCACTAAGCATGAATTAAATTTGGTTAAAAAATATTCTGAATTATAGTCACAGAAGAGATCTATAATTTTTAAATAATGTGGATTCTTGTATAAACCATAAATAATACAGGAAATAAGATACTAAAAGGTAATAAGCTCTTCAGCATGTAAGTTAATTTTGTAGCTTTTCATTTTTCTCATCACTACTTAATCTAATCTAGTTACAGATGTTGGCTTTGGTGGTTGACAGAAAACCCCCCTTAGTGACTTCATCGCCTTACTTGCAGGTTCTGTGCTCTTTCTTTGTTGAGAAGATAAACTGGCAAATGCAAGCTATTGTCCTTTGCCAAGGATCGAAGATCAAAATAGTACTTGGCATAAACACTTCCAGAAACTTTGACGTTATAGACAATTAGCTGCAAAAACTGTCTTTCAAGCTCATTTCTGTGGGAGGAGGAACACAACAAAACCAATATAGGACAATGTTAGTCCACTGGGATATCTTTGAAAACATTCTGATGTAAGAAATGTGGTAAAGCAATGATATGTTCTAGTTCTATTAGAACACATGAAAAAGCACACACTGAAGAGAAACCCTATAGATGTAATAAACATGGGAAAGCCTGCAGTTTTCTCAGTTCTCTTTGAAAACTTAGAAAAACTGATACTGGGGAAAAAGCATAAATGTAAAAAATGTGATAATAAACTTAATTTTCCCACTTGCTTTTAAAGACATTTTAGGATTTAAAATGGAGAAAAACACAAAATTTTAAGAAACATGGTAAAGTCTTCAGCTTTTGTCATTTCTCTTTGAAAACATAAAAGCGTTCAGTGAAGAAAAGTCTTATAAATACAAACATGTGGTAATGCCTTTACTTGTTCCAGTTCCACCTGAAGACAAGAAAAAAACTCATTTTTGAGGTAAAACCTATGAATGTACAGAATGTGAGAATGCCTTTATTTCATTTTCACTCAAAGACCCGTGATATTACATGCTGTAGGTGGTCCTTATAAATATAAAAAAAGCACACTGAATTGGAACCCCAGTAGTTTACAAAATACAAGGAAGTTTTCAGTTTTAATATTTTTTTCAAAAGCTGTGTGAAAACTCCCACTAGAAAATAATTCTATAAATGTTGCTAAAATGAAAAGTCTGATGCCAACTGATTATTTTTATAATCCTCAAAAATGCATATAAATTTTACATGACTTTTAAATATTTTGCGTTTCTCAGTGGTTCCTTGTTACAGAAAGTCTCTGCACTTTATATTTTCACTTCTTTTGCAAGAAAACATTAGGGTGAGAATTTTGTAGATACTCTTCAAACAATACTACATAAGTTTAGTTCACGTACTAAACATGTAGTGGTTTTTTCTGTTAAGTCATTTAATGAAATTTATTTCTATTCATTTAAAAATATAATTCTGAGCTACTAGGATGTCTCTAAATTCTGTTTTGAAACAAATAAAGGCTACCCAGTTGGATTCCTATGGTAATGTCCAAACAAGGCACAGTTGCTTGCACTCCCTTCTGCGCCCAGCACCCTGAGTCTGGGATGAGGAGAAAGGTGACCACCTCTTATGCATTTGTGCTGCTGACTCGGGGCTCATTCTTGAGAGTTCCCTTAGTGCAGGTGCACAGCTCAGACTCCATGCTCACTCACAAGGCCCCATAATAGTGATCAGATGACAGGAATGATGAATACCATTTATTAGCTCTGAAGAACTTGCAGACATTTTCACAAGGATAACAGAAAGAGGCTTACTGAAGTTGAAAAGCACCAACAAAAGCCATGGGCACATCACCATGGCAACAAATGGATCCAGGGAGAGCCTCCCTGTTATTTCTGAGGAGGAAAAACTCGAAAACAACAAGGATTCGTCCCAAATACATATATAAGCTACATTTGATGGGAAAGGGAATCCCCTCCCTCTGCCTCAGTGCATGAGACTATGTCAAAGGGCATCACGCCAGTTTCTACTCACCTTGAAATTATGAAGATGAGAAACTGTCACTAGTGTCTAGTGACAGGAATACTCTTTAAACATTGGAAGGCAGAAAGATTAAAGAGAGACATCTTGGCTAGACTAAACTCATTTTATGATATGACTTCTGGCAGGGCACGGGACTTACACACTCAGTGTTTCTCCTGAGCTGGAAATAAAACCCCAAGGTGCTCAGCTTCTGTCACCCATGGCCAGAACAGAATGTTGGGGATGAGTTGAAGGCACTGAGAGAGATAAAGGCTGAGAGCAGCCTTTTGTCAGATGATCATACAGCTGCCCTCACCTATTTTTTTTTTATTTATTTTTATTTTTATTTTTTAAAGAAACATGGTCTCAGTCTGTCACTCAGGCTAAAGTGCAGTGGCATGATCCTAGCTAACACCAGCCTCAAACTCCAGGGCTCAATCAACCCACTTACCTAAGCCTTTCAAGTCACTGAGACTATAGGCTTGTGCCACTGAGCTGGGCTAATTTAAAATAAAAAATCAATTAGAGACAGGGTCTTTGTTGCCCAAGCTGGTCTCAAACTTCTGTGCTCAAGTGATCCAGTGATCCTCTTACCCTGGCCTCCAAAATTGCTGGAATTATAGGTGTCAGCCAGTGTACCTGGCTTCTTGTTAAATGTTTAAACAAATGAATATAAAATAATATAGAACTACTTTCACAGTAATCCCTGTAAAGACTTAATTGTATAAAAATAATCAATACCTGAACAATGTATTTAGTTTCTTGGTTTTAAAGTTTTAATATCTTATCCACTGGCTAAGTCAACAAATGTTTGATGTTCTCTGGGAGAGCAGTTAAAATATGCACAGAGATGTAGTTTTCTCATTTGTTTAACTGAAAACCGATCTGAAACTACTTCCAACATCAATTACCTGTTCATATGACCATAGGGCTATAGAAATGTAAATCAGACAATGTTTTAATAATCAGCTAAACAGGACTTTTGTATTTATGTCTTTTATATTATCTCATATTTTTCCATGAACACATTTTGACTGTTTAGAAATATAATATTTTACTAAATTAGTATGCCTATTAATAGAGGTTTAGTTACTGAAGATAAGCATTATGCCTACAGGATATGGAACTTCTTAGTTTTTTTTGTTTATTTTTTTAAGTGACTGAATAGCATGCCCTTTACAGGTACAGCAAATTTTCTTAAGAGCAGCTGCTCAGTTTAACTGATATTTTGAAGGAAAATATATTTCAACAAGACATGAAGATGTTGAAGAGTTTTAAGAAAAACCTGATAGACACTCATTTTTAAATGGTCCAATTTACAGTCAAAACAAGATTATTATGCATAATCAGCAGCAGAGAGACAAGGTAAATGTGTATTAAACACTTTGTTGTAATGCTTTCCAGTTTCCAAAGATCATGAACAAAAGCAGCCTTTTCAGAGCATTGCTTCTGGTGCTTCCGCATTCACAAACAGAATTGCGTAGAATTGGTTTTCTTACAGCCGGCCTTTACCACCACTGCTCCTGGAGCTCACATCCGTGGGAACTTGCATATTCCTCGACCTTGTAACTAGAACTAGAGCCCAGCCAGTTTAGTTGCAAGTTTTGAGAATATTTTAGCCACAATTATAGCAGAGCTAAGTGTTCATAATTACAAAATTTGTTTCCTTTGAGAAATCACTCTGTAGACTGATAACGGTAGTGATCAAAGTCAGTTTAGTGTCTGCAACTTTCAAAGTACTCCTAATTGTTTCAAATTCATTTTCTGCCACATCTTTTGCTAAAATGGCTACTAGCAACATCACCATCATCACCCGCTTATACTATCAGTAAAGTGGTCATTTTCACCAACAGCCATTTCAACAGCAACCAACAGTCACTAGTCTTTTCTTAGTCACAACATCCTCACTTCAGTTGTATACATACAGTATAGTAATTCTGAATGATAGTCTTTTTAAAAAATTGTGCATACATTATAGCTTTATATATTCATAGGGTATATTGGATATTTTGATACAGGCCAACGATGTGTACTAATCCTACCAAGGTAAATGAAGTATCCATCACACATTTCTCCTTTGTGTTACAAATAATCAAATTATAATCTTTTCATTATTGTTAAATGTACAATTAAATAATTACTATAGTCACCCTGTTGTGCTATCAAATACTACATCTTATTCTAAATACATTTTTGTACCCATTAACAATTACCTCTTACACCCCATCCCCCATGCTACCTTTACCAGTCCCTGGTAACAATTCTTCTACTGTCTATCTCTCAAGTAAAATTGTTTCAACATTTAACTCCCATAAAAAGTGAGAGCATGGGAAGTTTGTCTTTCTGTGCCTGGGCTATTTCACTTAACATAATGAGTTAATACTCCATTTCATTATACGCCATTTCCATCCATGTTGTTGTTGCAAATAACAGAATCTCATTATTTTTTAAGGCTGAATAGTATTCCATTGTGTACATGTACCTTTTCTTTATCCACTCATCTGTTGATGGACACTCGGGATGCTTCTAAATCTTGGCTATTGTAAATAGTGCTGCAACATACATGAGAGTGCAGGTGTCTCTTTGATATACTGATTTCCTTTATTTTGGGTATATACCCAGTAGCAGGATTGCTGGATCATATTATAGCTCTGTTTTTAGTTTTGAGGACCCCCAAATTGTTCTCCATAGGGGTTGTACTAATTTACATTCCCACTAACAGTGTACGAGGTTTCCCTTTTTCCCATATCCTTGCCAGTATTTATTAATTGCATGTCTTTTGGATAAAAGTAATTCTAAGTGAGGTGAGATGGATCTCTCACTGTAGTGTTGGTTTGAATTTTTCTGATGATTAATAATGCTGAGTATCTTTTCATATATCTGTTTGCCATTTGTATGTAATTTTTTAAAGTTTTGAAATGGAGTCTCACTCTATCACCAGGTTGGAGAGTGGCACAATCACAGCTCACCACAGGCTTGACCTTCTGCGCTCAGGTAATTTTCCTGTCTAGAACTCCCTTGCAGCAGGAACCAGAAGCATTTGCCATCAGCAGCTAATGCGTCTTCTTTTGAGAAATGTCTATTCAGATTTTTTGCCCATTTTAAAATTGGATTATTAGTTTTTTTCTTACAGAGTTGTTTGCACTTCTCATATATTCTGGTAATTAATCTCTTGACAGATAGTTTGCAAATATCTTTTCCCAGAATGTGGGTTGTCTCTTCACTTTGTTGTTTCCTTTGCTGTGCATAAGTTTTTTAACTTGATGTGACTTCATTTGCCCATTTTTGTTTTGGTTGCATGTGCTTATGGAGTATTAAAAAATCTTTTTCCAGTCCAATGTCTTCAAGAATATTCCTAATCTTTTATTTTAGTTTCATAGTTTGAGGTCTTAAATTTAAATATTCAATGCATTTTGATTTGAGTTTTGTATAAGGTGAAGATAAAAACTAGTTTCATTCTTCTGCATATGG